TTAAAAAAAGAGTTTGACTTAAAAATAATGAATTTACTGCAATTCATTTATTAATGACTTTTATTTATTTTGATTTTCCCCCCATAAAAAACTACATCAACTGCAAGCTTTAGAAACAGTCAAGTGATCTTTTTAAATTAATTTTGTAAGGCTTCACTAGTGAGGTCATTTCCTCTTAAATATGGAGGTCTGCCCACTTGTCTGCAGTTGTTTGATTTTGAAAAGTGAGAGGGTGGGATTCATTGAAAACCTACAAACACCGGTGTTGTGATAGGTCCATTAGGTGGTTCTGTATTTATCACTCGTTACCAGCATCATTTGTATCGCAATAAGCATTCAAATTTTCTTTAGCTTTCTATTTTTTCCTAAGCTCTTTTAGTGAAATGTCAGCAAAGCAATTCTCATTCAGCTGGCTAACAGCTAATAAGTTAGCTGAGTTCATCACAGTAGCTGAGACAGCCTGCTAAGTTCCCCCCCTTTTTTGATAAATGTTCTCTATTGTATACAAGTATTATATAAAATTATTTCAAATTTAAGGGGATGGAGTTAATAAGATAAGATAACCTTTGTTAGGAAATTTGTTTTGTTACAGCAGAAAGTGGACAGTGCAAAGTTACAGTAGCAAAATAGGATAAGATAATAAGAATACGAATAAGATACTGTACACAATAGAATAAAATACTATATACAACAGAATAAAATACAACATTGTCAGAAAAAGAGAATTGCACTTAGTGTTATTGCACATGTGTGGATGTGTGTCTTAATGAAGATTTACCCTCTGATGAAAACCTTTTTCATCAGGAATATGTTGCTGCACGTCTGCCTTTTAAAAGTTCTTGTTTCAGTCTTTTGCAGCAACAGCTAATGTTACAAGAAACCAAATGTGCTACCCACTTCACTCACTTTAATAAACAACACAGGTTCCTGTTCTCACCACAGCAGAGCATGGTGTTGGGCAAGCATTTCGAGCATGCCCAACACGTTCTACGCCAAGCTTCACAGCCGTCTTATTCAGCCAATACCTATTTTCAAATAGAAGATTTCCAATACAGTTAATACAGCAAAGGTTTCGGCTGAAATTTAAAACTTTCACAATGGAAAGAGATTTAACCCAAACCTCAAACTGAGATTTTGAATTCTAGCATTTGCCCACTTTGTTTTCATTTTTTGTTTTCCTCTTTTTCTTCTCCTGCCTTTTCTACCGTTTACAGCTCAAGCTTCAGCATCCCTTGTCCACTATATCTGCTATCCCACCTCTGCACATATCCAAATCATCTCAGCTTTCCCTCTCTATTTGTCACTTGGGTTTGGTGGCCTCAGAACTGATTACTATGAAGAACATAGATCATCTGTTTTTACCGATCCACATGTAATTTGTTCTCAAAACGACCACAAAAACATAGAGTTGTAGCTAAAATATTACATAACTTTCAAACATAACTCCTACACACCAAAAGTTTCTGGGTGACGCTTAAAGACATGAAAATATTATGACGATTTGCAGAATCATCTGGGTCACTGCTAGTGATCATGAATTGGAGAGATGATTTGTCACAAAATCGTCTTGTGAAATAGTTGATTAATTTTCGATCACAAGCTTACATTCATTCAGGACGAGCCTGTTGAGCCACCTCTTTTTTGTTATAGTAATCCATGACAACGACCTAGTCTGTTACAACTTTATGGAGGTCTCCCAAGAACTGCTGATGAACTTCTTCATAATGATTGGAGTGATCTTTACACTATATCTACCACTACAATTATTACCAAGGGACTGAATAACACTGTATTCAATCAGAGTACAGTAGTCTGGAAGCTGGTAAACTGTTCCCCAACTTAGAGACTCAAGTGTGCGGATCACTGTATCCAAGCATAGTGTCTTGTTTTGTTTTTTGGTGGAGTTATTTTCATTGTGTTGTTGCAATCACTGGACTACAATAGAATTCTAATAGTCACTGTTTTGAATATGAAGGTTAACCAAGCAGGTATTAACAAATCACAGAACCAGGACAGTGGTATATGTACATTTTAGAGTTTCAACAGTTTACAGTGTAATGAATCAAATCTGTTACTCAGATATTCAAAAGTACACGCCATGTCTTTAGCACTTAAAAGTCTTTTTAAAATGATTTGTTTTAATATTTCTTAAATATAGTTTACTATAGAAATAGTTTTGTGTGATTTGTTTTTGAGTTTTCAATGTTGATGTTTGACTATTGTTTAATTAAAAAAAGATGATGAAAGTGAACAATAAATACGCAGTTTTCATAACTCAAAAAATGACTTGTTCTCATTTCTTTTAAGTTATGACACATTATTCACATTAGATGTCACAATCAGCAGGGTCGACTGTGTGTAGAGTGAAAGGTGGACCCAAATGCAGACGAAACAAAACATGACTTGAATAACCAAACACGAGCTGTTGATTAAGGCTGGCAATTAACTGCAGGCAAAAGGCAAGGCTACCAATAAACTAAACTGGGTGAGCTAAATTAAATAAAAACCTACAACAGGAACATGGACCTGATATAAGAAAACTTGACATGACCGCTTGGCCTAGAAACAACGCAGACAATCTGACAATGACACACTGAAAACAGAGGACTTAAATACACAGGAGGTGATTAGGGTAAGTGGGAACACATGGGGGAACAGCTGACTGACATGAGGCTAATGACAGGACAGGGGAAGTCAAACTAAATACAATGAGCAAAGAACACATCACTCCTTCAAAATAAAACAGGAAACATGAGACGCAGACATGACAATACAAGCTTGATAACATAAGACACGCAGCATGAAACACAAAGGGTGAGGGAAACTTAAATACAGTGGAAGAAAACACAAGGAGTCTAATAACCAAATGAACTAATCTAATGAACTTAAACATAAACAACATCCAAATAAACTAAAACTTAAAACGCCGGGTCAACAGACCCAGGAACATGACATTAGAGACATAAATCAAGACTTTAAGTTAATAAATATTTGTGAATATAATTATTAAACATTTTACTTTTAGTCAAACGTAATTCAAATGTTGGAGTTCTTATAAGCTTCAACTTTTAAGTTCATAAACTTAATAACCTTAGGGCAATCGATTGCCTTAATTTATTGAAGTTCTGCTAACTTCTTTTCGTTTACACTTTACATTACATGGGTTATTGTGGATCTCTGGTAAGCACTTACTAGTCTAAAGTTCAATAAGGGAGATGGTTTTCATTGTCTGCATTTAAGGCCTCTGAAAAATCTGCTGAGCATTCTCCACTGTAAGAACAAGATTGATTAACTTATTTCTTTCCCATCAATGTCCTGAAAACAACTGCCAAAGGCATGAATAACTATTATAATAAAGCATGAGTCAAGCTAAGAACTGGTTGTACCATTTTTTTCATGCTACACTTGTCATCCAGAATCACTTGTGTTAGTGTCATCTAAAAACACGAGGCTGTCATGGTGTGGACACCACAAAAGAAGAGCCAGTCCTTTTACATCCACCACAAGAAGGTCATTTATTTTGTAATAGTCATTTTCCACTCTCAGATTCCCTGGTTGGAGTTAGCAGTGGCTGTCTTTCCTATTAGCTCCCTCCACTGGAGCCAGAAAAACACAATCTTTATGACTTTTGGATCTTTCAGTGTCCACGGATTTTTTTTTTTTTGTATAAAATTTCTCATGTATTTCATGTTTAATCCATAATATAAATTAAACTGATTTATTCCAGTGGTAACTTTGTTCCTGTCACAAATTACACATCAAATGTGCTGTATATTACTAAGAGGTATTTTATGTTATTGCATAATAGCAACAGATGTGCAGCACAGCCTCATTGATATATACATATAGTCATTATAGTCAAAGTGGCTATCACAGGACTGTTAAGTACAACAGCAACACACATACCATTTCCTGATACGGAGAGTCTAACAATCTACTGAATGTGAAAGTGAGTGAGCATTACACAATGTGTGTGTAGGTTCTCTGTGATCCAGGTCATGGTAGTTTAAGGAGCTTAGAATGAAAGTGACTGGACTTCTTTAAGGTTTGAGGAGGTGATTCACCTCTCATTCAATGTGAGGTGAAACATCCTGTATTTTACATAATATACCGGTGAGCATCATTTTTGTTTTATAAGAGGGGCCTGCTGCACGTGTCTCTCAGTGCCATCAGCTAAGACCCCCCTATGCACGGCCTGCTCCCAGAACACACCATCCTCCCCCACCACTTCTGTCGGTTGAAGAGAGATCGCCAAGGAGAGAAAGAAGACAGCAATTGATTGCCCAGAATAAAGCTGTTCCTGCTGGTGAAGACCAGATCCTGGCTCTGGGGTTGGGAGGTGGAAACGAGAGGAGGGCTCGGGGGTTGGTGTCTGCAGGGGCTGGAATTGCTAAGAGGTTGCTAGAATGGGGATATGCTGGATTTGCATCTGGCCCTGGCTCTGCTGCTTCGATGAGTACAACTGAAAGGGCTGGATTTTTGCATCTTACACTGGAGTCCTGCAAAGTCCTGCTAAACCGAATAACTAAAGCTGGTTAGAATTGTTAGTACATGTGTATTGTATATTATTAGTATGCTAAATTATACTGTAGCTTGATATTAACGTATTAAACTCAGTAGAAACGGGAAGTTATTTATAAAATCATATAACAAAGTACATCAGGAAAAGAGACAGACAAAAGCTGCTGTCCATCATATATTGTAATTATTCTGGAAAAAGTTGTTACCACTGTCAAACTTTAACTGAAAAAAAAGCCTTGTTTTGTTATTTTGTTGCTATTTTCTATGATTCGTCAAGCAGTAAAACATTGTGTATAAAATGCAGGTATATCAAATCTGATATTCTTGAATCTGCACCCGTAGAAAGATACGAGGCAGCACAAGTACTGCTATGCCTTTAAGTCCAAACAATAAAGACAGCCTCTTAAATAAAACTGAAACAATGTAACCCGGACTCTGACCGAGTGACGAGCACAGCTACAATCTTTACATATTTGTGGCTCAGCGGAAGTTGTCAAATGACGTCAGACGCATCCCGTTCTGTGAGCGGGACTCTCACAGCTGAGCGCCGAATAAAAAAAAAGTGCTGAGGCTAACTTTGTCAAGAATCTGCGCGTTATTTCGGAGAAAATGGCCTTCGAGACGGAAGCGGATCTACCACCTAGTCTCGCATGTCTGAAAGTAGGTTGTAGCTATGTTTGATTTCAAATGTTTTGTTGACATGCTGGCTGTTAGCCCCCAGCTAACTGAAAACCCCAGCAGTAACACTTACATCACATTCGTTCAATCTTTATAACTCACTTGAGTATCTGACGTGCTTACAGTTAGTGATGAAACGTTTGCTAACCTTGTGAATACAGTGCAACAATGACATAAGTCGATCTAATTTGACTACCGCTGAGACTTTCTAATTTTGACCACTGTCCTAATAGTGCTTTGGAAAGTGAGTAGTTGGTGCAAACATACTGTTTTGTTGTGGGTTGTAGTTTAGGACGTCGTCTAATAATCAGAAGGTTGGTAGTTTGATCCCTGTCTCTTATAGTCTGCATGGGCAAGATACTAACCCCAAGTTGATCGCCGATGTAACCATTGGTGTGTGAATGTTGGATAGAAGGCACTTACAGTAGAACAGTGCTGTATAAAATTATAATTATAATTTTTCATAGATTCAGCTTAAGAAATGGGAGCAAATTTTGACCTTATTCAGCCAGCTGCTAACATTGTGGCTAAATATGCAATTTAAATTTGGTTCTGTGATAATTTATCTGTCAATTTGCAGAAACAACACTGTTTTATCCCTTGAATTATGTGGGCTTTTATGCTTGGTTTATTTATAGGTCAGTATTAAGTGGCTTAAAAATCAAGAAGAAAAGTAAAACATTCCTCTGAAAATGGTCAGGTGCAAGGAGGGTGCTGAAAATGAGAGAAAAAGCTGTCGGTGACCAGAGAAAAATTTGAAAGCCCTTTTTTTTTTTTTTTTTTTTCTTTAATTACACGAAAGCTTGGCTCCATGGAAGCAAAAAATAAAGACATGAGGGATGACTCCGAATGTGTGCACAGTATTGTCTGCAGTCAGAAAAGAAAGGACAACTTGTATTCTTGAATGCTATGCAAACATCACATTAAAAAAAGATGTGGAACCTTGAACATTCTTACAAGAGAACATTCAGCTTGAGACAGGAGGGTTAGATAGTTTCCTGTTATTTAGTTGGATAGACTGGTTTTAGGAAATGATATCCTTTGTATGGAAATGTATGGGCAATCCTTTGATAAACGAGGACATTCACCAACTCTAGCGTACTACATTTATTTATCATTCAGTGAGTAACATCTTCATCTGTCAACTTTTGTATTTTCATCCTATGTCTTGACGCATTCTCAATCATCCAGGTAAGTAAATCTCCAGAAGTCGATTCTGTTCACTAAAAGAACAATGGGCTGGGAGGTCAGTTCCTTAGTCTTAATTATGCAAATTCTCATGACCATTGATCAACAGCACAGTGGGTTTCACTGATCAAAGCCCATTGTTCCTTCAGTGGGCTGGTTTCAGTCATTATGCAAATGTACTGTTTATAAGATTGGGGAAACCTGCAGTCAGCTCAGACTGAAGAAGTCACTTGGATGAGTGACGAAACATTTCTTCCACAAAACGCTACGTCCAGATGAACACAATCAACTTTTGGATATTTTCATCCTAAAATAATATATGATTAAAAGTGCAAAGGTTCATGCACAGATGCTTTGAGCCAGCCATACTTTTAGTAGGTAAAATATATTGTTGTTGTTGTTATTATTGCAGGTACTTGTTGATTTTCAGCTCTTTTTTTCCCCTCTCTCCCATCTACAGAATGTCGATGCGCTGCTTCGGTGTCCTATTTGCTTCGACTTTCTCAATATTTCAATGATGACAAAATGCTCACACAATTGTAAGTAATAGCAGTGCAAAAAAAAAAATTGTTGATGATTAAAAAAAAGTAATAGCAGTGCAGATGCAGTCATAAAAGAAGTTTATGCAAATAAAAGGAAGAACACTGAGTGGTTGTTTGAAACGAGCAATCAGCTGTCCTTTGTCTGGTTTATGAACTATATCCCACACATTGCAGAGGCAGATCACGAAGTATATTTACATAAATTATTTTTGATCGTCTACCATAACGCAACATTGACGGGCACACATTAAATTTCTATTGTTTTGTTTTTAACGATTTAAAATGGTTTACTGTAGAGCTGCAGACATAATATTATTTTTCTCATCTTCTCCTAACACTTCACCCTCTCTCTGTCACTCTTCAAATTTCACAATTTGCTAAATTAAAAACTGTCACACACGTCAAATAGCGATGTGATAAAATGTCAACAGGCTGACACAGCTTTGTGTTTGCATTTTATTTTGCAGTTTGTTCTTTGTGCATCCGGAAATTTCTTTCTTACAAGCTCCAGTGTCCAGTTTGCAATACAGTAAGTATGACCATGACTTGTAATGGAATTACATAATAATTAAGGACATCACCTAAAGAGACTTAATCGATATCAGTAAATATTGGTTAAATTATTTAAGTAATTTACTGAAGAGCATCACTTAAACATTGTCTTGCTCAACTTTAATTGTAAATATCACTGGATTTTGGACCCTACAGGCAGAATTTCTTCATATCTTGCTTCTTTTTCTTTTAGCAAATGACAGAAGCAGACCTGAGGAACAACCGTCTGTTGGATGACTTGGTCACAAACTTTCAATCTGCAAGGTAATGTACAGCTCATGACAAGTAGCAAGTGAACTGTCTTGTATCTGAAATGAAGAAGAGCTTTTTATGCATTTAGATCTTAGTGCACACTGAATCACCACTAGTGGGGTCCACAACAATATTACAATATTAAGTTAAAGGACAGAAAAAAAAAATACTTGCAGCTGTATTGCATGATTTGGTACACATATAGAATAAGTGTGTATGCAAACTATATACTTACCGGCCACTTCAGTAGTTATACATTATCGGGTTTAACCCCAGTTTACCTTCAGAACTGCCTTAAGTCTTCATGGCACTGATTCAGCGAGGTGCTACGAACATTTTTGTCCGTACTGATATGAATCACACACTTGCTGCTGATTTGTCAGCTGCACATCCAAAAGGTGCTCTCTTGGATTGAGATGTGGTGACTGTGGAGGTCATTTGAGTAGAGTGAATTCATTGTCATGTTCAAGAAACCAGTTTGAGATGATCTGAGCTTTGTGAGATGGTGCACTATCATGCTGGAAGCAGCCACCAGAAGATAAGCACGCCGTGGTCTTAGATAAATCCTCTTTTTGACTCCTCCAAGCTATATAGAATGTCACAGCCAGACTCCTTACACATTCTTGTAAGGAGGCTCACATTACTTTTTAGGTTGGCTCCCAGTAAATTGCAGGACTCGATTTAAAAGTTTTGTACTCACAGACTGAGCACTTAACAGCCAGACTCCAGACTATTTATCCCAGCTTGTTACTAAACACACTGCTGCTTGTGGTCTTCGATCACAGGATCTCAGAATTTGTTAGCGGTTCCTCGTACAGGATGAAAGACTAGAGGGGACAGAGCCTTCAGTCTGTGGCACCAAGGCTTTGGATCAGCCTCCCACTCCAACTTCTGACTGTGGACTATTTTAAGAAGCAGCTAAATACCTTTTTGTTTAACTTGACTTTCTGTTGAGATGTTTTCAAACTACATGTTTTACTTTGTTCTGCATCTATTGCCATTAACTGCACTTTTATTTTATTGTGCAGTGCTTTATGACTGCCTATCTATGAAAGGTGCTTTATAAATAAACTAGCATACTGTGGTCGTCAAGGGGCACAATAAACGACAATACTCGGGTATCCTGTGGAGATTAAATGATGGTCAGGGGGCCAGAAGTGTTCCAAGAAAATATTTCCCCACATCATTACACCACCACCACCAGCAGCAGCAGCCTGAACTGTTGACACAAGACAAAGTGGATCGATGCTTTCGTGTTGTTTATACCAAATTCTGACCCTACCATCTGAATGTTGCAGCAAAAAGCGAGACTCGTGAGACTAGGTGATGTTTTTCCAGTCTTCTGTGGTTCAATTTTAGTGAGCTTGTGTGAATCCTCAGGTTCCTGTTCTTGGCTGACCTATTCTCCTCTGACCTCTAGCATCAACAACCAACAGCATTCTAATTTCCTTTATTGTCATTCAGTTAATACATCACAGATGTATACAGTTCAAAAAGAAAACAGTCTCTCGCTGGATATTTTCTCTTTCTCAAACATTCTCTGGAAACCCTAGAGATGTTTTTGTGGGAAACTCCCAGAAGATCAGCAGTTTCTGGAATTTTTCAGACCTGACGCAAACAACCGTACCATGTTCAGTGTCACTTAGCGGTTGCTCTTGATGTATATCTGGTCAGACATTGAGTTGCTGCCTGGTGATTGGCTGATCACATATCTGTTAGCGAATAGTTGTGCCTAATAAAGTGGTCTGTGAGTAAGCTTCTCATCTAAGTATTATTAATGAAATATTTCTTTCTGGCATTTTGCACATCAGACTTGTTGGGACACAATGATTTAATATAATCCATTTTGCTGCAGCTATCCAAAGTGGTTTTAAAAAAATTCTTCATCCTGCAGAGGCAGGCTAAATGAGTAATAAAAACGGCTAATCAGATTTCCTCTGCAATCCACGTAAACCTCTTTACCATGAGCACAGGTGCTCTGAGCATCTCTTCAATTTGTATTTCATGATTGTAAGACCCGAAGGGGTAAAAAAAAGATCACTGCAGGGATTTCAGGGGATCCCATTGTTATTGGCAAGATTACATTAAGCCCACTAAGAAAACTATTTCACTTTTTCTTCTGTACAGTATTGAAAAAACAGCCTGATTGCCTCCTAGTAATCTGCTTCTTATTCCCAGATTTTCTGTAAATCAAATGGGGATTTTGTTTTCATCAGCTGAGGTCACTCAGAGTTCTCACTGCATTGCACTTACCTGTGTGCTGTGTAGCTCTGGGGCTGATAAGTTTTCATTACAACAGGACGCAGAGATGAGGTGCAGAGTCCAGAGCTGGGCTATTGGAAATTTCAAGGTACAATTTAGGTTGCATGTTATCCTCAATCTTCTGCTCTAGTGACACAGTTCACACAAGTGAAAACCTTTCCCTTAAAATAGATTGTAAAAACAGATTGTTCTGTAGTTAATAACACTGGCCACATGCTTGCAGTCACAGGCTGTTGGTCTGTGTTTCTGTTGTGGAACAGTTGTTTATAGGGAGGTGTAATTATTGTAAATTATTTACAATGTCATGGTACAACAGGTCACTCCAAACTCTAATTATTTATTCCTTCAGGTTGGCACAGGGGTTATAAATCACACAAGCTCCCCTGGTGATGCTAAACTTATGTAAAAAGGGTTTAACTGTATTATTATTATTATTATTATTATTATTGTACATAGCCCTGGAGAAGCTTACATTTTCACCCCTCAGTAATAAAAGGCTAATGGTTATTGTCGTCAGTGTCGACATAACTCGAGAATGTGGTGACGTAGGATTTTGAAGTTTATACGACAGGCTTAATTGCCTTGAGGCTTAATTAGTACCAAGTGTGTCAAGAAAATATCTGCCATGGCATCACAAAACCAGTAACATGAACCGTTGACACAGTGCAGGATTGATCCGTGCTTTCATGTTGTTCAATCTAAATTCTGACCCTGCCATCCACATCTCACAGCAGAAATTAAGACTCATCAGACCAGGCTAGTAACAGGCAACAATTTACCAGTTTTCTATTAGTAATGAGAGGTTATTTGAGTTACTGTTGCCTTTCTATCAACCCCTTATCTGACCTCTGACGTCAACAAGGCACTTTTGCCCAGAGAGCTGCTGCTCACTGGATATTTTCTCCTTTTTCTTTTTTGGTACGTTCTCCATAAACCAGAGATGACTGTGTGGGAAAATCCCAGTAAATCAGCAGTTTCTAAAATACTGAGGCCATCCCATTGGGCACCAACCATCTTGTCACGCCTAACATCACTGCAGTAACATTTCTTCCCCATTCTTACGCTCCGTTTGAACTTCAGCAGGTCATCTTGCCCATGAATACATGCCTAATTGCATTGATTTGCTCCCGGGTCATTGGCTGGTTAGATATTTTGATTTGATGATCTGCTGACTGGAAGAAACATAGCATATGATTATGTTTCAACCATTTAAGCCTGTGGATGGGATATTGTTATCCTGTAATGACAAGGATAAAAGCAAAGCCCCTCAGACTGACTTTGTATTGATTTGCAGTGACCCTTCCCTCTAGGGGACAAATGGACAGAGAGTAAATTGTCCCAAAAAGCATAGAACAACGCCCCCTCACCCCTTCTCTGTACTTGAAAAAGATTCAAGTTTGTCATCTGCCAAACTCGTCACATTCATACCAGCAAAAACTACATCTGCGAAATGCTTTTCTCTTTTGCTTTCGTTTCCATTTCTTCTGTTAAAACGCACACGTCAGAACCTCCCCGCCAGCAACTCTGTATTCACAAACCTTAAAAAAAAGATCTGGTCCAGGTTTACCGATTAATACTAATCCTCCTAAACCACTTTTTTTATGGATGGTGGCTGAGGTTGACTCCTTCTGGAACATTTCATATCTATAGTCCATATGTGTAACTGAGGTAGTAACGCATTACAATCTCCATCCCGGGAATAGTGTAAGAGTGGGGCTCCAGACAGCAACATTTCTAGTTTGCGTGAAAGTAGGGAACATTTTGAGAAAACGCTTCTGGCCGGAGTTCATAAACTCTTGTTCACTGAGAGTGACGCCATCCTGTCATTCTTTTCTAAAGAAATAATAATCCAAATGTAGAACAGAAAACATCTCTCAAAGGATATATATGTTCCTTTGTATTATAGATAGTCATCTATTAACAGATCATTTTGATGATCCATATTTTGGGGAATCTTGTAGCAACTCCTAAAGATTAGTTGAAAATAAGCCTGCGAGCCTAAATAGAGCTCTCCCCCCCGCTCCCTCTGCCTAAAGTCATTAGAATTGTTTCTCCAATATCTGGGCTGATGCCAATGCTGAATGCTGTTATCAGTCAGTCTACCACAATGTTTGTCCCTTCCATCAATCACATCTCTGTTATCAACAGTCTGAAAGGTCTCCCTTCAAACTGTAGCCCTTCTGATTGTCATCACAGTTACGAATGAGTGGATTAGGCAGCAGCCTTTTCCTTCTCTTTTTAATTTCCTGTTGTCTAACACTGAGCATCTGAGAAATTGGATTCGTTGGTTTTGACTCTGTCAAAATGTTGTTTTGTGTAAAGATAGACTTGTTTCAACTGGATTATTTGCTTTGAAATGACAGCATTGCAAAGCATTTAGGGAATAATTATTTAAACATCTGCTTATGCGGTTGGTAGATTCTCTGGTCCAGCATGTGTTTGGGGATAACTTCCTTCATTCGGATTTATCACTGTGAAATCAGTGCTTTGGGTTGCTGTTATCTGATGGCTCTAATTTACTTCTATTAGAGGCCTTTTTCCCCTCTAGCACACCATTAGCTGTTATCTCAGTGCTGCATATTTACACTGGTACAGTAACCAGTTACCTTGCAGCCTCTTGTCTCATTTGTGTATTTGCACATTAGGATAAGAGATAAATTGCTAACAAAATATGTTTGATCACAATCACAACATGCCCTTTTCTATTATAAATGCAACATGGTTTGGATTTAGTGTTGAGAGACCATTTGTGAGGCTGAACCATCGCATTATGAAATTGTGTTTCATACACAACCCACATCATTTAGATGTGGGTTGTGTATTTTGTTGTATCACAGCTTCTTACAAAATAAAAATACTCTAAAATACTGACACTAATAACAGTTTTTGCAGTTTTGAAACTTTCTGGGTATAAGATATGAGCTGTTCTGATGTTCAGGGTCTCATTTGCTTTAGGTTTCATTTCACAATGTGTCGATGGTGTTTTAGCACCCAGACTTTTCTGCTATAGAGCCCTCCTATTGTAAAAATGCATTTTTTTTTCTTACACCATTCATTAGTTTTTCTTTACGTTCCCTGAGGTCTACTGATATCCACACACAAAATCCTATTAATGAAATGATTCTGACTGCTGCAGGGCTGCTTTTTTAAAGTCTTGGCACAATTACCGTGTGTATTGTCCCCGAGTAACAGCGACGGCGACTTTATAAAATGTGGTCCAAAGGCTTTGTGTGGAATTCCTCTGATCTCCTGCTCTGTATCTATGGTTTAAGGTCTCTAACACCCAGCTTTAAAAAGTGCTGTAGAAGCTATACCTGCCCTTTAAAACCCAGTTCTAATTATAAAACTTTAGCCCTCACATTGTAAAGAAAATCAATGATGCAGCTATTTAAATTCAGTAAGTGTTGGGAATTTAAGTAGGTTGTATTGATCTTACAGATCAGTGGGATTGTAAATAAAATGCCCAAACTTTAGCTTCATTCCCTCATAATAACTAAATCCATCCTTTTCCACCTAATCAGAGATGAAAGCTGAAGCACAGCTTTTGAAGAGAAGCTAGAGAATATGGTTCATATAATAGGACCAGTTCATTCATTTCATTTACCTCATAGTAATTTTTTAAAAATTATTTATTTACTATAAATTCCTATCTACTCATTGATTTAAAAAAACAAACAAAGACAGATTTGTATACAACAGTATGGTATTGGGCTAATCAACTGAATGATGTTAGTGCACTGGAATAATTATTTTGGATGGTTGTAAATACAACACATATAAATCTTTTACATTTATTTAATATATTGGTCAGTAAATGAAATCTATAACTCTGTTTAAATTGCTCCATGTCTGTCCTAACATTTTAGGAAACTTTTAGTTTCTCCAACTAGATCAAATTTTATTAATAATATTAACTAATAAGAATGGAGAGAGGTGGTTTTATTGTAATGCCATAAGTCTCTGGGACACTGCGAGACCATGAGTGCAGGGGGTAACTGCCCGGACCACATCTCTGCGTTGGTAAGCTTAGGTGTGTTAATTGTGAGGCTCTGTATTAATATTCATGAAAAGAGCTTTGGACATAACTCGATAGCCAGGTGGTTTAAGTGCATCACACATGGGGAAAATGCCATTAGCACAAAGATGGTGGGTTTGTTCATTGGACATTTTCTGTTCATTTTTGTCTATGTGTATGCAGCGTTACTGATGAATGTTATCGGGAGAGCATATTTGTTTAAGGTTGGGAGGAGTAGAACGTGTTTCCACATCACATGTGTGCAAAGCTAACTTGGCGTGTGCTTGCATCTGTGCGTGCACGTGCATGAACCTCCTCCTAAAGTAGACAGAAAGCACAAATAAGTTCTTAAATATGGAAAGTGGAACATCGCACACCTCATTGGTTCCATTTTATTGTCAAGTAACAGCCCAGCTGCAATTTGTTTGCTTTCCACATTTCTGAGGCTGCAGCCAAAGTGTCTCCTTTTTCTGGCTCAGTAGAAAAGGAGCGAGATGATTAAGCAGGTGAAGAGAACATCACAGGGCTCACTTCAATGCCAACAACATTTATTCACACTTCCTATGTTGTCGTTTTTTTTCTTTTTTCAAACTGAATGTAATAAAAGAGCATGTAACTGTGTTGTATTTTCTTTTTCATTCATATGTGCCCTGTTTCTTTTCTCTTTTTCCAGGCAACAGTTGTTAAAAGCACAATTTGACTCTCCTCCAATATCTCCGAAGACTCCCGCTTCAGCCGTTAAATGCAAAACTCCGAAGGAGAGGGGCCAGAGGTGTAACAACTCTGTGCTGAGCCAATTTTTCCAAAAGAAGCCTAAAACACCTCCCAGCAAAGAAACCCAGCGCAATGGTTCGATCTCTGAGTGCGTTCAGGAGGGGAAAAGATGGACTGCAGGAATCCACAATGATACTGACCTACATTCAGGAAAAGCTGAGCTTTCAGTGGTTGTGAAAGAAGAACCCATAGATATGGACGATGCGTCTACTCAGGGTTCGACGTCACTCACGGCCTTTCCAAGTATTAGCGCTGAAAATGGGATGGCACATTCTTTAACACCTTCAAAAGACATTAAGCCCATAATCAAAGGTAAATCCAGTTTAACTGTAAACATACTGTGGCTGTTGCCTTTGAAATTATTGCTTTAAAAATGGGTAAAAGTGTCTTTTAAAGCATTCAGATGGCGATGAAAGGGCAATAAGACGGCATCAATCTGCTATTAGCTTGTGATTGACTCAAATTGGGAATTGCATGCTAACTGTTTATGATAAATGGGATTAATTGCGATAAACTGGGGAAAATCACAAATCTGTTAGTTGGAACAGCCTCATAGATTTAATACTGAAATTCCTCCACAAATAGATTTGTAGTTGCTGCAGGAGGTGGATTAACTGGAAAAACAAACCCAGTATAGCCACTTGGCAGCCTTATTTTTATATAGGAATACTAACATGAAGCAACCAGTTGAGTCAGCTTCCTGTCTTGGAAGAAGCTGTGCTCCTCAGCACTGTCTGACTCAGACTGATTGCAGAGTGTTTGACTGCACTCTGTGTTTATAAATGAGAACAATCACCTTGCACCCAGAAAGATTGCAAGAAGTTGTTGGTGTTGCAGATTCAAACTGGGCAACTGGTCACTGCAACTACTTGTAATTTATAACCAAATGTGGAAAAAAAAACTGCAGTCAGTAGGCAAACACTGATTTTTTTTTTTTTTTCATTCTTTTTTCATTTTTGTCATCCTATTTCAGAGGTGGGAAGTAACTAAGTACAAATACTTCCTTATTGTACTTAAGTACTTGAGTAGCTTGAGTAGTTTTTTTTTCCCCCTGACTCCTTTTTTTAACTTTTACTCCCTACATTTGTAAACAAATATCCATACTCTCTACTCCTTATTTTCAAAACAGGCTTGTTACTTTTGCTGTAACACATTTGAGGGGAGTTAATATTTCATGTCACTGCGAGCCTTCAAACATAAGAAGAGACGACATGTGCCAAAGTCAGGGGTTAAAAGCGGGATGGTGGGTTTATTATGTTTGTTTGGGAGATTGGGTGGATTTTGGGGGGGCTTTTTTATTTTATTTTATTATTTTTTCACACCTGAACGACTGCAGGTGTCCATAAGTTGTGGTTGCGGTACTTCAGCATCTAAGTGGCCCTACATGTTTTTAAACCAGATATTAGGTCTGTACATGTGACGTTATGTTTTTTGATATTGTGAAACGTGCTGCAACTCAAACTGAGGCAGACTAACTGTTATTTAAAGGCTGCATGGAAATCCTCTGCAGGTTAGTGCAGGATAAACAGGTTAGTTTGCTGTACTGTGATGGATCTAAAGTACAGAACAGTGTGTGACTGGTGCACAGTGGCTGTGGTTTCATGGTCAGAGTTAGGTTACAGTGTAGCTGAGATTCATATGAGTTTTAGCTGATGATGCTGAGAGACACTGACTGAATTCCATCTTCATACCAACTTTGTACCATCTACACAAAAGACAGCATAGAGTACAGTTTACTGTCAGTGTTTTTCATGACCTGTTGCTTTCATTGGGTGGGTCACAATTAAAATTCACCTCCAGTGAATATAACATATTGATAACAAAACATACAGATGTGTCATTTCGGTTCAGTTCTTCATGTGCTTAATTTGAATTATGAATGAATTGCATAACTGCAGCTGGTTGGATGCATGCACTAAATTGCATGGAAATATATTATAGAGTCATAGCACGAAAACTATCAACATTATTTTGTGTGTCTTTTTTGCAGTGGAGTGCCCTGTGTGTTCTGTAAGTGTTTCCCAGCATTTTATCAACAAACATCTGGACACGTGTCTTACCAGTGGCGACAAGAAGGACAGCTTGAGGAGGTAAAGTATCCACTTTACTGATCACTTAAATGAAGACTGTACTGATGTCTTGTCAAGCTTTAATCCTCTTTTGGGAGGTAGGATACAAATAAAAGGGTCGTACGTAGGAAGAGTCAGAAGTCTCCTCAAGTTAAGGAAATTGTAGCAAAGAGAGGTCACTCAAGATCAGTAATTTCCGAAGGTGAACGAACACCAGTGTGACAACCTAAGATGTTGAAGGTCTCGGACATCCAAGATAGCAAAGACAACAAACAGCCATTAGAAATGGTAGCCACTGCCGTTATCTCCAAACTCATCAGTGGATCAGACAGACTAAAAGACAGATATGAATCAGATTAGCTGTAAAATTATTTTTAAACTATTAAACATTATTTCAACTGTCATTAACATGTGTATGTGTAGCCTAGCATGTTGAGATGTTTTGTTTTTTAATTACTTGTGATTTGTTTTAAACTAAAAATACCCCTTATGCTTCAAATTAACAGGTACCACGTGGAGTTATGTTTACGTGGCATTTTTCTTTAATCTTGTGTATACCTGCCTAGGGACAGCAGATGGAAATTAGCTTGTGGCTAAATGTCTTTTCTATAATGAGATTAAAGTTTTCTTGTACATGGATGCAGTAAAAAAAAAAAAAAAAAAGAATAAATAAAAGTAGAAGACAAAGAAAACTAAACACAACAGTTGGGTTTCAGTCAACCGATGACCTTATGTCCTCCCAGCAGTTTTTCCTGCTTTATTAATAACATTTAATACAGTTTGTGATACAAAATGCCGTACAATTACCAAAAACAGAAATGTTGGGAAAATATTGTAGGTTTGGTCTGGATAAGCCGATTATAGCCAGACACAATGTGACTTAAATGAATAACTCTCATGAAATGTCTGTATTGATTTCACAATTCACAATTACTCACAGTCCAGGCAACAAAAAGAGTCTATGCACTCTTGAATTTCATAACTCCAAAATAATGTTTCCTTTCTACACAACAACTTCTGTCAAATGTTTCTTGTGGTATCTTATCTCTTCTCCTGGAAAACAGTTTCAGCTTATCAGTTTTTATATTGATGAACAGCATCTCGACTAAGTTACGGTCAGGATTTCCATACACGAATTATCTCTTATCATTATTATTATTCAGCCAGTCCGTTGCTGATTTATGTGCTTTTGCTTGTTGTCTTGTTCCATTACTGAACATCTGCTGAGCTTTAGGTCCTGGACTCCTGCCCTGCTCTTTTCCTCTAAAATTTGATACAATTTTGCATCTATTGTTTGTTCAAAGGTTGCAAGTAGCCTTAAACTGTAATACTTGTTCCAGTGCTTTAAGGCTGATATGAGAGTTTGTGGCTATTGTGCAGTTTCTTGTTTACCTCCAAGCATGCTGGGGAACTTTTGTGCCTTTAGAGAGGTTTAAAAGATTTTTCAGTGATGTGTTGTGGAACATCCAGGCTTTCTTTTTAACATGAGAAGTGCTTGTTTTGATTTTTGTTTTTTGTTTTTTTGAGAGAGAGTTTCCTTTGTGGTATTCTTCTTGAACCCCATTGTTATTCATTTTTTATTTTTTGTTGTAACAGAAACACGAACAAAGATTTTCACAAATACAGATATAGTGTTTCATTGTAACCCCTGGGCTCGCTCCCATTCTTAGGGAGAGTAGCAACAGTCATGAGTTTCTTGAACTCTTTTGAAAATCTGTCTTGTTGTAGTTTGATGTCACAGGGCTTAACTTGTGAATAACTAAAGCTACAATCACATTAGGGGAACCAGTGGTTGGAGACTTGGGACGACCAAAATTAATGCGACCCTGTGAGCTCATCGGCTCTGAAATGGTTGCTTCAAAGTGGGGAACAGGTCTGCAAGCACTTGCTTTTCTTTTAGTGTGTAAAGATATTAATTTTATACCTAATTTGGAACCTTTTCCGTTATGACAATAAAAATTCTGCTTGTGTTCAAGAGCATTTCTTTCTATAGTTGTAGATTTTTGTTGTAGCTTAGCACAGAGATGCACCTCAAGCATTAAAATGTCATATCTGTTGGTTACTGAAAATATACAGTGAATCTGTTTGTTTCCGCTCTCTTAGCCAGAAGAGGCGTCCAATGCCGAAGTTGGTGTACAACCTGCTTTCAGTGCAGGAGCTCAAGAGGAGGCTGAAGGAATGCCATCTGCCATTGCAGGGATCTCGAGACCAGCTGATCAAAAGACACCAAGATTTTGTCTACTTATACAATGCCCAGTGTGACTCTCTAAACCCGAAATCAGGTGAGAGGATTTGCTCTGTTTTTTTTATTAAAATGAAAAAACAAAACAAGAACTCTAAACTACTGTGATATCACAGTGTTTCGTTACACAACAAAAGAAGTGGATTGTATAGGATATTGTCCAACCTCAACTTGAAAATCAGAAGTGTTTGTAGTCTATTCAAATAGCCACTCTTGAATGTGGAATGAAAAATCACACATCATAAAGGGGGCCAGATGCAGTGTTGTTTACAAAACAGAGGAACAGTCATGTAATAGCTCTCAGTTGTGTACTTGTTGCCCTTATTAGTTATAGAACAAATGACAGGAGGGAGTGTGGCAGCCCCTGAACCTGTGCCTGCACTCTTCATTATACCAGACAGAGGCTTGCATGGACTTAAATGCTCTAGCCAGAAAATGACACTCAAATATTTAGAAACACAGTAGAATTCCCCCAAAATTGAGATTTTTTTTTTTTTTTGTAAAATGTGAATAAAAACGAATGCAATGTTTTGCAAAATCTCATAAACCCATATCTTATTCCCAATCTAGGAAACATTAAATGCTTAAACTGCAAAATTGTTAACATTTCATAAAAAATATTTGTTCATTTTGAATGTTATGTCAGTAACATGTCTCAAAAGTTGGTATGGAGGCACCAAAAGGCTGGAAAAGTATACCCCAACATTAAAGAAAAAAAAGAACTCGATCAACATTTTATAACTAATGAGGTTAAATGGAAACAGATGGTAACATGATTGGGTATCAAAAAGAACATACAGCTCTCGTTTCTCTGCCATTTAAAATAGACGGAGCAAAAGTGGAAAAGTGTTCTATCCTCGTACTATTGGGACTTTGAAATTCCACACAGGGTCCTCTGGACTAAAGAGAAGAGGGACCGTCCAGTGCATCCGGACTTTTAAACCAGCATTCTCCCATCCAGACGACATTTATTTCAGTGAAGCTTTTGCATATTTCACAGTCCTGAACTTTCACCAGTTGAAACATTTAACAAATCGTGAAACAAGAAATACGACAAAGACCCGGGACTGTTGAGCAGCTGGAATCGTGTATAAGACGAGAACGGGACAGCATTCGTTTTCAAAGTCCAGCAGATGGTCCCTGCTGTTCCCAGACTGAATGTTAATTCAACAAAATCAGACTGAACCGTTTTGCATTCGCTTTAACAAACACTCTGCTTGTTTGGGAACAGGCAGTTTTTTTTGTTGTTTGTTTGGTTTTTTTTTTTTGTAACTCTATCGTGAAATGCCTTTGCTGTGGTACAAAGCTTTAACATTTTTTCCCCATGAGACTTAAACATAGAATGAAGTTGGTGATATTTGACCTCACTAGTTTGGTTTTTGTCTTGATTTTTTTTTAACTTTTCTTGAAAACCTCAGTTTTGTTTTGCCACCTCATGGGTCAAATGGTACATTTCATATAAGGGACAATATTTGTCACCTCAAGCCAAATAAAGATTCATCTTTCGTCTGTCAACAGCTGAGGAAATTGCCAAAGAGGTCGAGGCCAATGAGAAGATGAGAAACCAGTTGCAGGGGAAGGCCAAGCCAGTATGTATTAACTGCTTAGTGAGAGCTTAAATTTAGTTTTTGTTTTTTCTCAAATGTACGTTGCAGCATTTTCAGTAGCGTTTATATATTATCAGCAAGGTTTATTTTACTGTATTTTTAATCTTTTTTTTTTTTGAGAAACAATAATTATGACAAGTTCTTACAATTTAAAATTTCACAGTCTTATGAAAATGGGTTATTTGTAATAAAAAAACAGTACTTTTGTTGCACGGGTGCTGGCTTAAAAAAAAGACAGGTTAGCTCAGTTTCTTTACAAATATTGCAAAATTTCAATATTTGTTTTTCTTGATTCATTGTCAATATGAACAAATGTCTCTCCAATTAATCTTTTTCCAGGTCATGGTTTTCTCAAAGAATCAGTCTGAGAAAGAGATCGAAGACATGCATTCAAATTACAGTAAGTTTTTCTTTTTTCCTCCTGACACTTTTATGTGCTGAAGCGTTGCATGTTTTACACGCATACAGCAACGCAGTCCTAGGAAATGTTTCGTTGAAATCAACACTTGTGAAGAACGACACATGTAGTGACAATAAACTTTGGTGATGGAGAAAAAAAGCCAGAGTCCTGTTGACTCTGTTTATTTTGGCCAGTAACTGAATGGTGTTCATTTTTGGTCACTGCTGTTTTTGGAAAGAAAGACTGAAATGTATGGCTCACATGAAATACAACACACATACAGTATTGTGAAAGTCTTAAGCCACCTCTCATTTCTTTATATTTTTCTAGGAAAATTGTAAATGGGTGGGTAGATGGCTGTAGACAGTCGTTGTTGTATATTAATGTCAGTTTGAACCAAAAATCTCAAATTTGGGCTCATCACCCAACTCATTTATGTCAGGTACAATGAGAACGCTTGACATAATTTAGGAGAGCTTCTCTATTAACTCTATACAGAGTTTTTTTTAAATGAAGGAATAGAGACGTATTCAATTCAATAAAACTTTATTGATCCTGAAGGTTGACCCCGAAGGAAATTGGGTATTGGGTGTTCAGAATTAGAGTGCATATTATATATTTTTTGGCTACAAAAGAAATAAAAGTTTAAAATTAGCTGGATAGATGTTATTGACAGCCTGTTATGACAGTTTTCAAAGCCTCCATCAGGCTTCTCGGTGATCAATTCTTATAGGTCACTAGTTCGCTTGGGAAATCCACTGTAAGAGGACTTACTCAGAGGCAGTCCATCATAAAGACTGCATGACATTTTTGTCTGGTTGAGTAATTGTTGCTTGGTAATACTGTGGATAGGTCGACTGTCCCTGTGAAAACCGGCATAGGTTACTGATATTCAGTATCTCTAATATAACATGCTTTTGTTTCTCAGAAAGAGGATTGCAGTTTTGCATATGAAGTGTGTCGCCCAGCCATAACGCAAGTGTTACTTTAGTCTATAAGCTAGCCTCACATACCTTCATCAACAAGTTAAAAAAGAAACATGGACAACAGTTGTCTGATTTTTAGCAGCACGTGGTGACATAGGTTTTTGTCTGTGTAAATAATCTCCAGTATTTTATTATAATTCATAGGGCCACTTGTCTGTTGATTTGTATGTCTGAGACTTTTTTTTCCCCCCATGTGACCTCGGAGGTAATCACTCGGATACACAGAAGCAAGAAAATCTAGATGAGCTCTGTGTTTTTATCCTCGGGGCAGAGGCCAGTTCACCAAAATCGCAGGACATTGTTCTCAAGTCATGTTGACATAGTTGAACTAGATGAAAAGCTTGTTGGAAATAACTCTTAAGAGCTAACTTTAAAAGTGTTTGAAAAATGGATGTGACTCAGAAGAGGTGTGCTCTATAAATAGCTGCGCTGCTGTGATAACCTCCCGATTTATCAGAGGAGGATGTGGATGACTCACTCTGCCAGCATGGGCAGTGGTGCCTGAGCAGGCAAGAAGGTGAAAGCGGCGTATACACATGCACACACCGTATCCGCCGGGAGCTCGCAGCCTTTTCTTTCTGTGACACCAATTTCTTTTAGTGTTAATACAGTTGGTAGCTAGTTATTCAGAAAACATTCCTATTTGGTAAAATAACAGCAGGTTGAAAAAATGTTCTGCAGTAACACTTTCTGAGACGTGAGTTTAAACTGCAGCTCCAAGTGGTCAACTGTGCGTTACAGTCATTTTAATTAGCAACCATTTAATTCGAATAACTTTAATTTATGACTGCATTTGATCTAAACATTGAATTCAAGGTTAGACTCTTGAACCGCTATTAGAAATCAGTGACTATCACATAACGTCATAATCATTCTATCCTCTTGATGTGTTTGACCCTATAGCGATATGCTATTTTGCCCACAGGGAAGCAGCACAGCAGTGACTTTTCCCGGCTAATAGCGCAGGTCCGCGGCCGCATGGAGACCACCAGACAACCTCGTGTTAAACAGGAAGTCAGCGAGGTGAACAAGGATGTACAAAAAACGCACTCTGCAGGTACTTTGACATTCAGACATAATATTTTCTAGCCAAAGGACACTTCTGTGCACTTCTCTGACGCCCTTTTAAAAAAAAAAGTCACTTGATGTCTGTGGTTACCTGCTATCTTGTACATTTGCGTGAAAAGGAAAGCTTTTCCTTTGCAGCCCTGTGAAAACGTTTTTTTTTTCCACACAACTGCCTTTAAAGAAAAAAAAAAGTCCCATCTTTTTGTAAGAAAGTAGTTTTTCCAAGTGAGTAGAAAATCATAAGCACTTTTCCACCACTGAATGCTCAGTTTTTTATCAACAAAGAGATGATGCCTGGTGTTTGTTCATTCAAATGCTCTCTAAAAATTGGTGTTGCAATCCAGAAATGTTAATTCAACATTTAGCATATGTCATGCCACTCTGTTTTCACATTACTTATCACATCAGTGAGGAGGGAAAGAGATTCATTTTACGTAGAAACCTTTGACCCGTCATTTCCTCCTGGATCTGTAGCATGACGTCGTACAGCATTTACGGTTTGCCTCTTTCAGATCAAGGTGCACAAATAAAAAGCTGCACAGAAGTGAAGGTTGAACATGAAGCTGAAGACGAGGAATCAGGAGGAGTAATCGAGGTGCCGTCCAGCCCCACCTATAGCGACGTGTCCGTCAGCAGGTAAAACAAAACAAAAAATACAAACAATATTTAGAACCACTGAGTGCTGCACTGGACACCAGCATCTCAACCCAAAATAAACAGGTGCATCAGACACACCTCAGTCTCTTAGGGTTTCATTTATAACCAGACAGCACGTGCACACAAGTGCCAGCAAATAATCCAGAAGCATCAGTTGGTAAATGGTAATGGCCTGTATTTATATAGCGCTTTACTAGTCCCTAAGGACCCCAAAGCGCTTTACACATCCAGTCATCCACCCATTCACACACACATTCACACACACATTCACACACTGGTGATGGCAGCTACATTGTAGCCACAGCCACCCTGGGGCGCACTGACAGAGGCGAGGCTGCCAAACACTGGCGCCACCGGGCCCTCTGACCACCACCAGTAGGCAACGGGTGAAGTGTCTTGCCCAAGGACACAACGACCGAGACTGTTCAAGCCGGGGCTCGAACCGGCAACCTTCCAATTACAAAGCGAACTCCCAACTCTTGAGCCACAATCGCCCCAAGCACACATGACAGCTAATGTTGAGCCCCCGCTTGTGACAAGACTCTATAACGATGTTTTTCCTCTCTTCTCTGCTTTATGTTTCCGTGTGTGTCTCCTCTGCTCTTGGGTCTGCTCCGCTGGGCAGAGGAGACACAACTAAGATGAAACCGAGAGCAGCAAAACAAGTAGATCCGAGCACTGAGCCGCAATGAAACAAAGGCAAATATAATACTGATTCTCTCTTTTAAAGCACTGCCTGAGCACTCCAGACTGGATCCTGTCATCTCGCTTTGCTATCATGTTCACCCTCTTAGTGGAAATATTCATCTGTTATGAAGAGAGGCTCGTATCTGCTTACATGTCTGTGGATCTGCTATCAAACCACAGGCCTGAGAAGCCTGGATTTCAACACACACAGAGGAAGCAGCGATGGGAATCAGACCGGCTCCAGGAATACATAAATAAATCAGTAAAGAATCTGATCTAAAAATGACAGTATACACACCCCATCCATGGAGTTTCACTTCATTCTCTTTACATTTCAAATTTCTTTTTGAAAAACTAGCGCGCTTCCTCCAATAAGTTCTACAAGCCATGATTTTTTCTTTATTTTTTAAAGAAGTCATTAGTACCATATTTCCAGAAACATTGCAGCATTTCTTTTCATGTTGCTCTTACTGCGTTCACATTAAATCTGTTGTTGGATTATTTTCTTACAAATCCTAAAGGCATTTGTTTTGTATATGTCAAATAACACATTCTTTTGGGGGCTTCTAAGCTGATTGTAATGTTTAATTAGAACAGAAAATGCACTGGTTAACATTAACAGTCAATTTTCTTTTTGTGACTTTTGCATTCAGATAGTCCAGATTTACTGACAAGTTCCTAACTTCTCTATAAAACTGATAATTAGCTGTTTTTCAGGTAATTAGATTCCCCCTCTCTCCAATCAAGTAGGCAAAAAGCATCGGTGTGGAGTCACGCAGGTGTTCAGTCTGGATTCAATTATAGCTTTGAATATAATTGCAAAGAGGAAAGATAACTGGCTGTCGCTAAATAAAGCCCCGTGCTGTGAGACTCGGGAAAGAGACAAGGTCCTTTGCCGCACAGTTATAAATGATGTTGATAGCCTCTTGTGTGTGCTGTCAGCAGAGTGCCGCCTAAATCAGACAAAAGTGCCTTTTTAAAGTTGGGCCGTTACTTTAAATTCATAATCCCTTTCAGCCTTTTTTTGTTCATTTGACACATAAAGTGAGAGAGAGATTTCCAACAATACAAATCCAGATTCATGTGCTACTATGTGGGACACGTCGCTAATGATGAGAGGTAGACTGAAGCTTTGAGAAATAAAATAAAGGATAAAAATGCAAGATTTCCACTTTAACTAAACAACAAATAACGTGTAGTTTCTGTAAAATAACATTACCTACAGATGAATAAGTACAGCCTTTGGTTAAATATGTATATTGAAGGGCTACAACAGTTAGGTGTACATTGATAATGGGAAAGAAGCCAGTGCAGCACTCGTGTCTCTATCCTCAGAGATCACCTGCTAACTAGAAAAATGGCTATTCCTAGCACACCGCAGACAGCTGAGGTGCTGTGAGTTAAAGATGAAATGGTTTTCATATTTTTATATAAGCGGGACGTACCTTTAAGGCTCCGCTTGTGAAGTGTGGCTTTCACACAAGGCTGACTTTAGTTTCTGTGCCCAGCCATGAAAAGTTACGTGCAATAAACACAGGCCAAGTAGCCAGTAAATGATAGTATGGAACCAGCTCTGGACCAATTTCCACTTCATTTTCTTTTGTAAAGCACCCCACTGTTTCGAGCTCCAAACCTCATCTGGAAGTTGTTCAGTAATGTTGAGATATGCTCAATGCTTCGCACGCACCAGCTTGCCAACAGGGACCTGCTGGTAAATGGCAGTGCCTGCCACTAGCACATCTTGAGAAGCACTTTTTGGTTTGGTTTTTTGTGGGTTTACACAAAAAACCAAACCAAATACCTTTTGTCAGCTCAGTATTTGTATTGTTGGTTTCTCAGAGTGGCTTTGCATGTTTTTGTTTTGTTTTTTAGCTTATGCTGGAGTTCATCCACCGTCTGAAACAAGCACTTTTAGTTCCTCTCCTTTTAAGTCCACCCTGACTTTAATTGGCCGGCCCATGCTTACAGGAGATTTGAACAGTAGCAATAACTATCCAAAAGAGTTGTGAGGTATTTAATGGTGTTAGGAATTATCCGTGCCTTTAAGGATCAACAGCTTGGGGAAACCAAAGGAGCTCTCCAAGAATATTTAATATAAGTGGAGAGAGAAAGTTGCTTTAAGACCTATTCGCCCTCAGGGAGAGAAAAGCCCAGTCTTAGGTTAGATTGTGCTTTTCAATGCATATTTTTTGCAGTTTCTTTTGATAAAACTTTAATTTCCTCCTTTTTGACTCATGCGTTCTCAGCTCTGACACCATTTCACATTTTATTCAAGTTAAAATTGCTTATCAGGGAGTTGGTGTGCCACATTTCTAAGGGGTGTAATGTGTAAATTTCATGGTAAAATGTAATGTAGTCTCTACTAGAGTTGTGTTTTTTATCCATTTAAATTTTTGTATTTCAGTCCGCATCACAAATAATTTATCATTTTTTTAAGGGTAATCAATCATGTCACCGTTAGTGACTGCTGAGCTAACATGAGCTGACATATTTTGTTTTTAGACCGTCTTGATTTTTTTTTATTTTAAAAGGGGGAAGATAATGTTTTTTCCTGAGCTCTACCAGTCACATTCTGTTCTTAATATTCACACTTGGCTTACTAGACTGAAAAAGTGCAACTAATCACTTTGGACAATTTATTTTCTTTTTTTAAGCCATCAAACACATGAGTGGAATAATGCTTTTCACAGATTTTCATCCCTGTTTCTACTTCTTAAAATCACAACAAGATGTGACTTGCAAATGCAAATGAAATCAAAGTCCAGCGCCTCACAAAACTCAAAATGTCACACAGAAACTAAAATACACGGCGAAGTCTGATGCACATCGATAGCTTATTGTTGGTTTACAGCGAGAACAGTAGAAGAATAAATCACGGCGTGAACAAAAAGCTTTTTGTGCCGGAGGTGTTGAACGTCCAAATCAGTTAATACAGCAGAAAGAGAGAGAAAAAGGCAGCGAAACATCCACAATGCATTCAATTAACAATATAATAGTGATATTGTTATCAGGGGTATAGAATTGTTCTTTATTTTCAGCGCCCACAGAGCATGAATGTGGCAGAAATTAGATCAGTTTATAGTTTATGCACCCCACCGATACAGCACAGCAGCCTGTTGTGTGTGCGAGAGGAACAGCAGCACATAATTGCAGACTTTTAGATTTTATATTCTGACAACAGCCCCAAAAAAGAGTGAATTTCTTTTTGTATCTATATTCAGATTTATGAAGTGTTTGCCTCAGCTTTGTGCAATACCGTCTAGTTTCAAATCAAGCCGGAAACTGAGGGTCGATTTTTGTTATGAAGTAACATCCTGGGTCTTTTTCACATTTTATTGATCTTTGCCTGTGATGGATCTTGCAGGTACAGTAAAACACACAGTGAATCTGAAATATGAGGTTTTATTGTAATCTCACATTTCTCCTGCAGGCAAGTTAACACAGATAGAAGGCAAGTCATTAAATGTGTTTATTATTGAAACAGCAAGTATCCTGAATCACGGTATATCACACTGGTATGTTTTTACTATGTTTATGTTCAACATTCACAGTACTCCATTAGAGATTTCCCAAATGGAAACAGTTTAAGTGTTTCTCATTTAGTTTTAGTTTAAAAGCTGCAGGATTTTGTTTGTCGGGACAGACTCTTTGGATGTTTGTGTCAGTGTTTCTCAATCTCATCAAGATTGAATCTTATCAGACGTGAAAAGTAAAATGTGAAAATCAGCTTCACCTACGTTACGTTTTGTAATTTTAATACTAGTTGTGTGGACACTTGTTACTATTGCTATGGCTTCTTGTGTTAGTGTGCATGTAGCCACAGTTAATTTATTGCCCTTTCTTTGTTTCCTCCCCTACAGTTCTATTTCTGACATCTTTGGTCCAGAACCTGCCAGAAAGTAAGTGATTACTTTGTTGTTGCTGTTGCCTAAATTTGATATTGTTCATCCATCTGTTTCTTTTTTTGTTTTGCTTTATATTACAAGTAATGTTGTATGTTAGCATACTGTTGATGTTTTTGTGTTCGTGTTGTACATGCAGAAGCGCGCACACACACAAACAAACGCACCCATGCATATATATACAGTAGAGTTTATGGGTTGTGCCAATGGAAAACGGCTTATTCTGCTATTGACTCTTGTTTTGAGCTTCTGGTGCTGACAGTCAGGTGACTGATTTACACCTGGTGTCTGCTCCAAGCATGCCACCCTCAGGATGGGGCCCGTGCCATAGGGCAACTTCAAGATGGTGTTCCACAAAAGCACGTTATAGCAGTATAACGTTCCAGTTCCATGTAACACTCAGTGGCACAACTTTTGTTCCACTTGATACCTCTGAAGGCCCCTACTAGCTGGTTTTTTTTGTTTGTTTGTTTTTTAGCCAGTTCTAGTATAGCAGGAGACAGAAAGGTAGAACTTACTGTAATTTATTTAAAAAAAATATGGTGCTGTCAGCTGTTATATCCTGAAGTAAATCAAGACCATACAGTCAGGTCCAAATATTTTGATCTGACTCAGTTTGGCCGCTCTGCCCTACCACAACGGATTAGAAATGATGCAATCAAGATGCAACTGAAGTGAAGACTTAGCTCTAATCCAGAGGTTTTGGCAAACTTGTGCATAAAGGATTTATAGGCATTTTTACATGGCCGCTCTGCTTTCACTGGCTCATGAGTAATTGACAAATAATCTTATTACATGAATATAAATTCTTTGCTGTCAGTGACTGCCTGAAGTTTCCTTCCTTGAGATGCTTTGTCAGACTTTTCCTGCAGTGAACCGTTAGTTGATGCTTGATTGTGGGTGTCATGCAGAAAGCATGCTCGCTTGGGTTGAGGCTAATGGGGCCATAAAAAATATTACATTACAAAAAATTACATTTCTGTCTAAAGAATCTCTAGGGTAGCTTTAGGTCATCATCTATACTGTGAATCAGTATTTATCAGAAATAATAGCTCCATGCAAATCAGTCCTGGTATTTCTACCAACTTGCACATAATCAGTAAACACTGGTGACCTGAATCCATTGGCATCCATATAAGCCCACGCCGTAACACTGCCTCCACCATGTTTGACAGATGTTGTGGTATGCTTTAATTGTGAGCCCTTCCAATCCTTCTTCATGCTCTCCTTCTGCTCGCATTCTGAATTTTGGTTTGTAAATAATGGCATTTTAAAGAACTGGATAGGAACAGAAAAATTTTGTTTACGGTTGAAAAGGATGAAGTTCAATGTGTAGACATAGAGATATTCATGAAAACGTGATGTTTTTAAGGTTTTCTTTTCTCTTGTTATCCAAATATATTTACATGTTCGAAATAAACTATTGGATTCTAGTCAGTTCATCTCAGTATTATCAGTCTAAAGGGCAGATATTTTTTATATTTTCCAGTTAAATCTATTTATTTATTTATTTTGGGATACCTGAAGTCTGCTTTTTGTGCTGACCCCTTTGTATTAAATGAATCTATTTTTTATCGTACTTTATTATACAGATTTCCACATTACAATTTCCAGATTGTGTAACTATTTAATTAGGTGAACATGCTTCTTAACCATAAAAATATATAAACAACAATAAAGCATTTAACCCCCAAAAAACTCACATAAATAACAACACTTGAGTTGGAGCTCATTCACTTGCAAACCATGCACTAGGACACTGAATCATTCCAGGGTGGTGGTGGTGTTTCGACCACAGAGTTTTGCATCTTTCCTTCCTCTCCATGCATGTGTTTTTTGCTGCTTAAGTAAAATAAATAAATAAATAAAATACAATTAGAAAATGCAGTTTTAATGTATTTAATGTATTCACAGCTCTACTGTCACAAAGGTGATAGCACAAACATTTTCTAAGCTTATTCTCAGCTTTGTTTTTGTTCCTTGTCTGGACTCCCCTCTTTATCTGTGTTTTTGACCCTGAAGTTGGGCTCAAACCTCCCAGTTTTCACTCCTAATCTTTTCGTTCCACATAACACTTGACTGAATGTAATCATAAGGCACTATTCTATACTGAAGTCGAGTGTTTTTGAAACAAGAGTGACAGGAAATGTTCTTCCATCGAGCATCGATTTATATCCATCCTCTAGTTTTTGTCAGACTCTGGAAAAATACTGAGCAAAGTGTGGACCAGTAGAAAAGTGATCGGCTTCCTACTGTGCTTACCGATAATCCACAACACCTAGAAGACGCCTCCTTACTCTTTTACAATGTCCATGTGGCCTTGTGACCCTAATTCCAATGCGGGAATATTGTTTTTTCCTTTTTATGCAGTTATGATTAAAAGCCTTGTCTTGTCTATGAATGTTGAATTATATCTATAGGTGAAACTTTAAGTGATTCTCCACATGAGACACTGGTGGCATCAGGGCTCCCTTTTGGTTTCTAAGCCATGTTATCTGCACACTTGTTGTGTAGGAGATTACACATCGTTGTCTGTTAATGTCAAGCATGATTCGTTAACGGGGATGTAACTTTAAGCTACGTGCTGAGCTGTTGAGCCCACATGGGGACACATGGTAGCAAAACATTGACGTGGCGAAAGGTAATCCATAAAGGGAAACTGCCTATTTAGAAGTATTGAGTATTTACTCTTGACGTCTTCTGCAGACAACAGCGTCACTTCCCCCAGAATAAAAGATGGGAGTGTGAGTGAGTGTATAGATTCACCTCTATTCTTTTCTCACTATAGCTTTCCTGTAAACCTTTAAATGTTTGCTTCCAAGATGATTATATTTTAAGAGTAAAAAGGGTTCATTTCATTTACCCATCTTATTTAACCCTGTAAAGCTCAAACTATGAATTAAATGCCAGGGCTCTCAAAAACTCATGTTCTTGTTATTGTTTAGGAAAGGAGGAGAGAATTTGACTCCTAATCTTATCCCTCCACTTCCCTAAATGTAATCATATGCAGGATAAAATTATACAAAGTTTCCTCCTCTGACAGATTTAATTGATCTCTTTCACATAACATATTTTGATATGAATAGCAGGAAAAGCACAGCAGCGAGATTAGCGCTACTGATTTTGTTAACGATTGTGCAGTTTCACCGAGGTTGACTTAAATGATGTGCAGTTGTTTTCAGTTGCACATGTGCAGCTGACCTAATTTCTGTATGTTGCAGTTTGTGCTTTTGCAAAGCATGATAAATATAATATTTTGATTAATAATTTTCTGCCACGTTCTCAAATGAACATTTTGACTTTAATTTTGCCCGATCGTCGTCGGGCAGTAGTGTGAGAGCTTTTTGTTAGCAGAGGCGTGCCTTCTTCCTTTCAACATTCTTCCTTTCAAAGTTATTTTGAACTTGTGTGCGAGCAACCTTTTAACCCACTGTAATAAATTTGCTGGAGGGCTGTCAAGCCGTCTGTTGCTGAAGATAGTCGGGTTTTTTATTTCTTTCAGCAGCGTGACAATCAGTACGAATGCAGTACGAGGCTTTGCGTCCTCGCTCTCGTCATAACGTATAGAGTCTTCTCCACATTAGTTGGTGATATTAAAGGGGCTTTTGATGTTAATTGACTGTATGAACTTTTGGTTAGTCAGATGCAAGTGCAAATAGGCATTCATCTTCCATTTTTAATTTGCAATGTGCATCATAACTCCTGTGGAAGGTTTTTTTTTTTTGGCTCAAGTAATCATGTCTGACTGGGAAATCACAGAATTTAATCTTGATTAAAATGAAGGGATTTAAGAGCCCATGGCCCCAATATTATGTGTTAGACAGAGGCAAAGGTTTGTTAACTTGTCGGAGTAGCACTTAATTTGTAGGTGAAATTAAAATAAAATGAGGTGTTTTGTGGGATGACAAACAGATGTGAGTGGATGTCTCGTTTTTATTTACCGAATGGGGATCTGTCAAAGTGTATCATGGCACGGACAAAGAATATTTCTGAGGGCCTGATGCTCTTCAGACTCATCGGGCAGGAAATGGTTTTTGCCAATAAGTCAAGCAATTAAGTACAAAAAGTGGAAAATCAAGACCATTGTCACCTTAACCAGGGGTAGACGTCATACATGGTGGAATAGTTTCACAAGGGGGTCACACTCAATACTTTTGCACATTCTTTTCCTCAATTAATAAATAACCAAATCTTTTGGTTTCAGTTTTACGTTGTCAAAACATTACCGATAAGAACATCTGCTGACGCTCCAACCTTCCAAGCTGCTTGTTCTAATCTCTTCTGTTCACAAGACATTAACTAGCTGTCTCTAAATACTCATTCACAGAGATGTCGAGAGGACCCCAGGCCAAAAGCGAACATCCCACTCGACAGAAGACAATGCCACTTTATCGCCTGTTTTGGGAAAGCGACGGCGAAAAACGTAAGAAGAGACGAAGGAAAGGAGGGAAAAAATCTAAAGAAAATCCCACGGCTTCTGTATCAGCTAACTTTGAAGGACATGCACATTCCTTTGAACATTTCTTTGTACCCTGATTACGTTGCACTGGTAATTTCATGTTTACAAATAAATCTTTGGTCTTTTTTTACAGTTTTGTCTTTTGCAATATTCTGGTCAATGTCCCATTTCTGTTGTTGCTACCTGTTTGTGTTTTGACTCGAATCCATAGTTTGTATTATTGCATGTTTTGCTGCAGATTTTAAGAGCAATAAACTAATAGAAACATTCAATATTTTGACACAGGAATACTTTGTATTTTACATCATATACTGCCTTAATGCTTTGTGGCATAAATTCAATGTGCTGAAAACATTCCTCAGAGATTTTGGTCCATGTTGACATCGTGGCATCACACAGTTGTTGCAGATTTGTCCATTTTGTTGATTTCCCATTCCATCGCATCCCAAAGGTGGTCTGTTCAAGGCTACAGTGATCTTATTGTCATGCTCAAGAAAACAATTTGAGATAAATTGAGCTTTGTAACATGGTGCGCTATCCTGATAGAAGTGGCCGCCATAACTTTTGTACAGTCAAGGTGTGCCAAGAAAATATCCCCCACATCATTACGTTATGACCTTCACCAGGTTGAACTGTTAATAAAAGGCAGGATGGATCAATGTTTTCATGTTTACACCAAATTCTGACTCTTCCGTCTGTATTTTGCAGCAAAAATTGAGAATTTTCAGATCAGCTGTCATGATGTGAATTGTTGTCTTTTTCCTGTGCTTAGCTGACAGGAGTAGTAACTGGGTGTGTTCTTCTGCTGGTGCAGCTGCTTCAAGGTTGAATGTGTTGTTGCTTGAGTTACCGTTGATTTCTTAACAGCTCAAAGAATTCTGAAAGGAAGGGTCTGGCATCAAGGCATTTTAGCAATGTTCTAAATGATTCCCAATTTTTGTTTCCCCCATCGGATAGCTAGGTTTCAGTCTTGTTTACGAATCTATTGTTTCCATCTTCAAAATTTCCCTCATGAGTTTCCAAATCCTGTTAGGGGCACTGTCCTGTGTGATTCCTCTGTCATTCTCAATTTTCAAAGTTTACAACACATCTGTAGCTTTTTAAATTGATTTGTTTTCGTTGAAGGAAAAGTAACCAGGGTCGGTGTAACTCAATAAACTCAGCGCTCGCAGAAACCCGAGGTCAAGGCAAGAGAGAGTGTAAACACTTAAGAAGAAAAGGTGGTGTTTATGTGCACATGCATGGGAGACTTGGCAGGGAAACATTTGGGAGCTGACCTTGATTGAAAACAGAGCTAGCTAGAGTCAGACACATGGTTCTTCCGAGTCAACCGTCTCACCCCTCAGACAAAGCAGAGACATGGCCAGACATCATTAGGCTCCTGCTGAATGGAGGGAAATGAGCACTAAGCCACACATGCCTTATCTCACTGCATCCTTATTCTTTCCTTTACAATGATGCATTTTGTCATTGGGTTAATTAGCATGAGAGCAACTGCTCTTTCAAATAACAGGAGAGCACTGAGAGGCTTTTGATCTCAGCCTGGATTTAAGAAGCAGTGAAGCAGGTAGTGATCTCATTGATCACACATACCCATTGTGTCTGGCAAAGATCCAGACACCTCACCTGAGTGACAGTCACCTTACTTGCCTGTGCCTTGACAGCAATGTCGAACAGGATATTTATCATCTGTCTAACACAAGGTGAAAGAGATTTAAAGGCTCATAAATATGCAGTAAATATTATGATGTTCCTCTCTGGTCCCAATTCACATTATTCAGTCAAAATGACCTTTGAGTGGTTTTTGTAACTGTCGAGGTCCCATCAAATCACTTAAGGATAACCAATCTTAATGTCATGGTCACAGATCAGTCTGAATCTAAGGCAGCTCGCGTACAGGGGCACATTAATCCTCAGTGCTCTGCATGAACCTCTCCACCTCTGGCTGTAGCTCACTTTAAACTCATCATTGATAACAACAAATTATCCATATTCAGTGCATTTCTGGTGAAAATTCAACATTTGTTGAAATGGGTATGAACATTATTTTCTTACTCTGCAATTTGTATTAGCATTGCACTGTATATTACATAAGACTCACTGCAGTAAATACAGTTTCTTTGGCATAAGTGCTTCATCCTTTTTTGTACTTCTTACTTTTTGTGATGGAGTTTCTTGATCCAAAGCAAAATGAAGCTGGTAGAATTACAGGGTTTTAGATGGAGCCTTTAATTCAGCTGGAAACAAGTTAAAATGATTCCTGTTTGGTTTGGGATTCAGGTAGATGAAGAAGCATTTTCCCCTGCCTAATTTCTTAGAGTTTTGCAGATTTGTCACACTTACATGTTTCATGTTACATACATCATCGTGCATCATCAAACAGATTTTAAAATTAGACAGCGATAACCAGGGTAAATAGAGAATGCAGTTGTTTTTTTTTTTTAAAAAGATGATTTCATTTATTAAGGTGAAAAAAACGCAATCCAAATTTACCTGGCCCTTTGTGTAACAGTAATTGCTCTTTGAACCTAATAGCTGGTTGCATCACTCTTGGCAGCAAGAACTGCAAAAAAGCTTTTGTGATAACTAGCAATGAGTCTTTCACAATGGTGCGAAGGAAGTTTGCTCCGCTCTTCTTTGCAGAATTGTTGCAGGTTACTCGAAGAAGCTATGTGGCTCTGTCCTTCTGTTGACCCTTAGTGGTGTTCTGTTATTGTACAATAGAGAACACCATATTTGACAATAAGGGCACATGCCACAAGAACACCCTAGGTTACAGGCAATGATTTTTGTCCATGTCTTGGACACTGGGGTAAAGAAAAGGGCTGAGCTGTCAACTGATTACCAACTGAGGTTGAGTTAGGTCACCACCAGGGGACGGACCTGGTTCCAACATATTGTCAGGGTGAGCTGGGAGCATCTGGTAGAGGCCCCACTCTCCACAATAATCAATTCCCGCCTCTTGCAGAGCTTTGATTGCATTCTGAGGGAAGCTAAGGACATTGAGTCGAAGTGGACAATGCTCAACACCTGCATTGGTGAAGTTGCTGCAAGGAGCTGCAGCCACAAAGTAGTTCCCAAAACCAGATGTTGGACACCAGAGGTGAAGGAAGCTGTCAAGCTGAAGAAGGAGTCTTATTGAGCTTAGTTAGCCTTGGTTAGGCAGTGTGGTGTGGGAAGAGTTTGGTACTGATTAAATGTTCAGATTTGACAGTTTTTTATACTGCAAGAGTTTTGACCTTTTAAAATCTTTAACTCCTGTTACAGGTACTGCAAAACATTAGAGACTATCTTCCATTGTTCCACTGCTATGTGATTGTTTTTATTTCTATTTCAAACATTAAAAAATATTGTGATGAAGTCACTTTTTCCCATTTGTTCTAATAAAGAACACAAAGGTAAACAATAACTTTGGCAGGATTATTGTATATGTTTGACTTGTCAGTTACAGTCTACATAGAAATTTGAACGTGGAGAACTGGAATTTATTGAAATGCAACCAACAGTTGAAGCTAGGTAAAACATTTTTTTAAAGTTTCAATCCTACAGTTTAAGTCTCAGTAGATCTCAGTGGTCCACACATTACGAGATAGTGAAAACCTTTCAAAATACAAAATGCTTTGAATGAAGCAGAACTGTAAGCAGACGTAAAGGATTCATAACAAGAGGGAACATGGAGCCATTTCCAAGAACGACAAGGAAGAACCTTCCTCGTTGACCTTAAAGCAACAGCTTGACTGTAAAGTCATGTACATGATTCCCACTTGTATTATATTTCCAAAACTTTCAACGACCTCTCATGGCTGTCTTCACGGGATGAAGTTAACCATCTCCATGACAACTCAGTTTTGTATTACTTCAAGAGGATTCTTGACATTTACTTGGAAGTTTCCAAAGAGGACTTGTGATGGCAAATGAATCACTTAAATTACTTTATGAAACCTGAAAGTGATATTTGATGGTATAAGAAGTACACCGAGTAAAAATGTGAAACCTCTAGTCCAATTTGGGCACAGCACTAATTTCCTATTCAAAATCAGATGAATGTCCAAATGTTTCCTGCAGCCAAATTACTCAAAGTTTGAGGTAATAAATACCAGCATTACTGATCCAGTCTGGTTTACTTATGAAAGAGGGAATCTAGTAGTAATTTTTTACTCGGTACTGTCGGTTGATGCTCAGGTGGCCAAAGTGGTGGACCCTCTACTTTGCCTACCAGAGACAGTTAAGAAAGATCATGTCTTACATATTCACTAATGACTTAATAGCATGGATGATGCTTTTCTATCTCTTGCAGTATCGACCAGTTCAGAGCACTTTACTTTTAGATCAGTAGGTGAAATATCCAAAGACTGCAGTTGGTCTGAAACACTGCTGTCAGCCTTGTAACATGTACTGAAAGAATCAGCCCCGATATACGAATTGTCGCTGTCCTTCAGTCGAAATCTGGGAATGCTAGAAATGGTTTTACGATATTACTGTGTGATTTTTAAAGCCTTAAATGATGGGGCTTCTGTCCACATCAGCAATCTTTTAACTTTTTTTATGATTCACGATTCTCTACTTTGCCCTAAACTTAGGAATTTTTTAGCTGAGTCCCTCATCTGTGGAATTCTCTACTTGGAGATCTCAGGCAGGCACACTCAGAGTTGATTACTACACACTGCTCGTTTTTAAGTGGAGACAACAAACAGTGTTGGTCAATGATACAGTCATTGTGCATTTAACAAAGTATCTGTCATGATATTATGTGATAGAAATTAATGTTAAATATGTTTCTGGTTAAAATGATTTAGTCTTTCCTAAACACTAAATAGCCATCTATGGATAATGGGAAGGTGCCTCTACCCCCAAAGAGCCAATCAACAGCCCAACTGGGGAACACAACTTTTAAATCCAACAATATGTGCTTGAAGTATAGAAAAGGGGATAATCAAAAATGTCTAATTAGAAATTACAGCCATTTTTACTTACTTACTTACTTAGTCCTCCAATTTCAGAGGTGCAAAAGTAATTGGATATTTGCCTGACAAGCATTCATGGCCAGATGAGGCGTGTCCTCTCAGTATTTCATGAAAATTAAGCAGATAAAAAGTCTGATGTTCGTTTGAAGTGTTGAACCTGATTTTGGTAGGAGTCCAGCACTAGCCTGAAAAACAAAAAATAAAACTACCAGAAAGATCGGAAAAACTTAAGGAGTGGCCAAATTAACAATCTGGTACATAGTTTTAAAAAAAGAAGAATGCTCTGGCAATTGTAGAGACATCAAAAC